ATCTCGCGTGTTTTATTTCATTAATTTTATTTCTCTAAAGAGAATATTATTAACCTTTGAACTTAAATATGAGTAAAATATCAAAGTGCGTGTAAACGGCTCCTAACATACACATATGTATGAACGCATTATATCATATATTAAAAATATTGCTAATTAAAAAAGACAATGGAAGAGATCAAAAATGAGAATACAATGCGAAAAAGAGAGAAAAAAATGAATGAATCAGACGAATGAATATAAAAACAAAAGAAATGTTCACAAGCATAAAAATAAAAAAACGGATAAATGTGCGTGTTAAAAGAAATGAAATAAAATATGAAATAAAATATGAAAAAAAATGTCAAACAAACGCGTGCGTATGTCTGAGAGATTAAAAACACATTTATCTACCTTTGCTTCTTCCATCCTATCTAATTGTAAGATTCTCTCTCTCTCTCTCTCCCTGTCTCTAACAAAAATAACCGTATTTCAAATCGCGGAGCCGGCAAGATAGATTTAATCTCACCGTCGATCGAAATCCAAGATAAATCCTTAAAGCGATAAAGAGTAATATTAACGAGGTGAAAAGGAATGCCTTCCCGTGTTCAACCCTTAATAAGAGTCTAAAAGCGCTTTCGCTCCGGCCACGCACACCCCCTTCGTCTGTGAACCTGAGAGCCACCCCGAAACTCAATCACGCGACGCGACGCGCAGACGCGGCTAACGATTTCCCGGGTGCTTTGTAACACGAGACACGGAGGTCTATATCGTACCAAAGTATTTATCTTGAAAGCGCCAACACGCTTGACCGCCGCTAATATCCCACTAATCCACTTTGCACAATCTTCCTTCGTACATAATTCCAGGTACTCCGCCCATAGATCATAAACACTTCCGTGCGGCTCGCTCATTTCCCGCGCCTGACCGCGCCGTTTGCGGTCTCGTTCGGGGAGGGACCCGTTTAAAACGTGCCATTATAATCGACCTTCGCGCGTTGCACGCTTCGAAGAGGGCGAAAGGATATGTTCTCCGAGTATTGCGTTAACATTTGCGTGCGCGAGACTTTCGAGATGAAAAATGTCCCCCGAAGGAATTTAAATAATCTCTCATTTCATAATAGCGATATTGTGTCAATTCAATGACATGTGCATAGCGTGTCTGTGAATATAATGCGCGTAAGATATATGAAATTTACAGTAATGTTTTTCCCTCTCTCTCTCTCCGCTACTCTTAATGTATTTAAAAAATTTAATAAATTTTTCCTAGAGAATAAATTTCCGTTTGAAAAGTTATCTCTAATTTAGAGAACAAATTAGAAAATAATTTTTATTTTATTGCCATTCTTTCTCTTTGCTCTAATCAACGATCAATTTCAACTCTATCAACGAGTGAACGATTGCAGTTATACATTATATATGCACAAAAAAAGTTTCTCTACATCCGAAACGTGCTACGTAGAACAGCTCAATAAAAAGTAAAAGTAAAATTCTGATGTTTTCTTATTTTTCCAAAGTGGTTTAGTTGCGGTGAACACTCGTTGATACATTTTTCTCCTATCTCTCCACATGATGCATTCTCTCTCTATCTTTTTATCCGGTGAAATGCCTGGTTTTTTTTTTATAGAACATGCGCCTTTCCGTCAACAAGATGTAATCTACCAAATGTATAAAGTTCGCGGCATTGATGTGCTGTCGGAACTTTAAGAAAATCCATTTTCTCGTGAGTTTGTAAGATCTTGTGAGAAAATATGTGTCAGGTTTTTAATTAGCAATTTTTGTTAAAATAATTTAAATCTATTTAATATAAATTTTATAAAATCATTGATGGTTCAGATTTTGAAATAGAAAAAGAAAGATCATAATTCGAAATGGTTGAATAATGCGTTGTCAGCTATTTACTCAATTATTTCTAGAATTTTTCTCCTAGTACGGTAGAAATTATAAAAGAATACCAATCGCGTTATTATATCGTACAAAATAAATGTCAATTATTTTACAAAAATTTGTTCTGCTATGTCTGTTTTGCTGAATAGCGAACGAATATGAAAAGCATTTTGCACGAATAAGTAAGTAAATGAGCTTAATTTTAAACGCGCTGAAAATGTATCGCAAAAGCGTGCATTGCATTCATCGCCCCCCTCCCTTATATAATGTACCGACTGCCTTGAAATCGCGAATTCTAGAACTAACACAGAGTTTCCACATGCAGAAATATTAAAGTTTTAAGCCTGTACCGACGGCGTAGTTCGCATAATTGCGAGATATATATCGCGGCGCCTTGGAAATTACTATTGTTAAAAATCGTACCTCATCGAGAAATTACTGGTACCAACGTTACGCAAAACAGCTCTATATATGAAAATGTTTCTATATGAGAAACATCTCAGGCAAAACTCGACGAGTGTTAAAAGATTTTAAAATTACATTTTAAAGCTGAGTGCATGAAATCAAAAATTAATTTACAAAGATCAATTTAAATCTATATATGATTTATTTTATAAAACGTTTTTAGAAAATTGTAATGCAATATTCTGGAAATATTGTTATCGTCCCTTTTTACTTCATTCCATTTCTTCAAGTAAGTATTTATACCAATAAACATATTATGATAATCATTATCCTTGTTCTTATATTAAAGCGCCCACATATTCGCTATCTTCTTTCAACATTTATCGTCGTCTACGAAGATTTGTGAGCAGTCGGCTTGTACTGATTCCACCAGCATTGTTTGCGGGGTTCGCCACGAGTCTTTTGTGGATCCTTTACAAATATACAACTAGAAAAGCGAGCAGAAACACCGAGAGATGGACCGCGACAAGTCTTAAGCGACGAGGCCCAACAATGGATTCGAAACGACAAGAGAGCTCCAAGGGTGGTCGCATATAATCGACAGGTAATAAAGCACACTCTCACAAGGCCTAATCTTCTATCTCTCTCGATAGGTGAGAAAAGGCGAACCTAGCGACAGGAGAAACAGATCAGGACAAGAGATCTCTGCATTGTGTCCTCTCGAAGATTACGTTCCACTTCCTTTCTCTGAGTGGTTTACTCGAAATGCATCTCGAAACAGGGTGGAAAATTTTGTACGAGGTAGGAAGATCCTTGTAAAGATATATAGAAGACGCGAGAAAAATATTCAAGAATTACGGAACGCTCGTGAATTTCTTCAAAAGTACAGGCAAAGACTTACTCCGTCCATGAGAAATAAAAATGAAGCAACGGAAAGCGCGCAAAGCGCCCTTTACACAATTTATCAAATCTCCCGCTGATTGGGGACAACCTTGTATATTTTTCATAACATTATCGGATCTGTCAAAATGAGAACCTTTTATGAAATCTTAATTCGTATCGCAAAAAATATATTTAAAAACCTGTTATAATTTGATATTTATGATATACATGTACAATATAAAATAGAACACATATATTGATTATAATAATTAATATGTGTAATATAATGAGAACAACGCACGTTTCGAATGTAAAAAAAATTGAAGCAAGAAAGTTGCACATCCAAAATATTTGACAAGCTTCGAAAATAAATCCAAGTGAACCAACAATAGATGCATCGCATAGCCCGATAAATCCTTCGCTCTGAAACTCACGAACGCCAAAAATACGACCGAGTATATGGCCGTTGCTTCCCTTACTTTAGTTCTGCGCTCTCTTGAGTTCTTTCGAGACGCTGCTGAAGAAGCGCGGAAGCTCCTCGTTTGTATTGTACGCAGCACAGCTCGCTCGTAAGTTTCGACAAAGTTTTCGCTATATCAAACAAGGACGCCCCAAAATTCGCGGAACACGATGGAAAAGTCGTCTTTTGTTGCGTGCAACGGATTTTATCCAGTGATAGCGAAGCTTTGATGCTTTTTGACAAACTCACTAAAAATGCGATCGCATTGGAAACAGCTGAGCTTCTGCCATTAAATATATTATATAACTTGTACATGTTAAATATATCCTAATTATTAATATTAATATTCATATCATATTAAAATAATTGCTATTTCCTGCGCGTATAATCGGAAGATATTAAATTTGAATTATTTGGGAGCATGTATAGATATTAATAGTAACATAGTTTACACAAACTACTTGATGAAAATATTAAATCTTCTCGATAGTTTCTCTCTTTTTCTCTCAATGTTGTATGTTTTATTCATAGACAGAAAGAAGCGCAGTGGGAACTCTTGAGAGTATTATTTATAGTAGTTCATTTTCATGTTTTTTTTTCTTTTCTTTTGTGTTCTTTTTTATTAAATCTATATAAAAAAATTAATGTAATTAATCAAGATATCGAAAAGGAGCAGATTTGATGCGTCGATTTTTTATTATCTGAATTATTGCAATTAAAATTTATTCTCGACGTTCTAATCTCGAAATATGCAATCTCGTCAATGACTGGCGCCGCATATAAATACGATGATATCTTAAGGACGTATAAAATCTATGGATTCGGCAAAATTAGCCGCGACCAATGTAGCACTACATATACATATATCCTGGCGCGCTCCAAAAAGCCTGGAAACCGACATTGGTCGGCTCGCGTGCACCGACTGACCTCGTTCTCCTTCAACCCTCGAACCCGGGAGAGGGAGAATCACGTGGCCACGTCGTTAATTTTGCCGTTCTTGGACCGTTAGAGGACGAGGGTAGTGTAGGAAACGAAAGGACACGATGACTGCCTAACCTTTCGAAACCGCATTCAAAAGTTTGGGCCACTCAAAGGGAAATGAGAAAGATGCAGCAGCCATTGGCAGATTAAAGTGATACTCGTAGCCTTTGATCTTTCTTGCGAAACAAGCTGGAACCAGGAATGAGCATAAAATAAGCCCGAATCACAAGAGAGGTCCAGAACCTCTTTTCCGTCCTTCTTCCAAACGATGGGAGAGAAAAAAGGAGCAAAGACAGAATAAAAAAACCAAGAGCGGACTCGAGGAAATTGAAAGAGAAAAAGAGGTATCTCTTCGCCGCGATTTATCAAGACATAATGCATCGAGCAACGAGGATGTCGGTACTCACGAAAACGAAGTGAAACTTCTTCATGGTCCTTGTCAATCTCGGCGAGGACATTCGTCGGTGATGGATCTTTTCTTTTCACTTGTTAACCGACTATACGCAGCTCTCTGCGCTCACTACGGAGCTCTTGTCAGAGATCGTCGAATTTCCACCACGTGCGACTCTCACCCCCTGACGAAGGGCGCATCGAGGAATCTGTCGTGCGCCTACCGCGAGGCAGATTAACGAAATTCCTTATTTGTGTCTTGGTCTCACACTTTTACTAATATATATATATCTTTGAACACTTCACCCTCCTTCCCACCGCGCTACACACATAACAAATAATATCGCGCCGAGACACGTGTCGCGATTTGACGACGAACGCGATGAGAATCAGCCGGCCCGACGATTTTCAAGACGGAATCTATAATCGGAGAACTTGGGAGCCGAGCGATCGCGAAATCGGTCCCGCGGAAACCGCGATCGCGTTTTCGTCGCTGCGGAAAAAGGGGGAGGGAGAGAAAGCGGCCGATCAGGGTGTCTACGATCACACGTGTGTGCGTGTTCCTGGCGTTACCGGACTGTGCGATGTCGTCGGGCCGAGATGCGCGACGCGAGTGTCGGCCTTAACGTCTCGAAAGCGCTTGACGTTGGCGCCCGTGTGGCGTGGTGCAAGGTGGGGGATGCGGAGGGGAGAGACTATGGTCCATCCCTTCCGACCCCGTTCTCCCCTGCTCCTGGTCCACCCACGCCACCCCCGTGCTACACCACATCCCACCGCGCTCACCCCTTGTGCACCCATCGACCCCGCGGCCACCCACTTCACGTTGGGGTGAGAGTGGAATAAAGTGCCGCCCGGAGGGATGGTAGAACCGAGCGACGACGCACGAAGGACGAGAGGGGAGGCATACGAAAGGGGTGAAAGACATAGACGTCGGTGGAAGGGAGAGCATAATCCGCAAAGTTGCAATGATCAGACAAGCATTGAATTTGTTTTTTTTTTTTTATATATTTTTACGCGTTACTTTGACTATCCTGTGATCTGTACCTTTTTTTCGAAAAATGAGAGAGAGAGAGAGAGAGAAACAGATAATTTTTATAGTTTGTGAATATAATTATGCATAATTTTATAGTTTGTGGCTAATTTTTTTTTATAAATTGTGGATATGAAGAATGTCTTCAGCTGTACGGAAATCGCAGTAAGAAATCATTCGTCATTTGGCAAATCATTTGATTTATGTTTATTACGCTTACGTATCGTGTTTTATTCATCTTGATAACTAATCAATTATGTCGAAAAACAATTGATAAGATTTCTTAATTATATATCATATTTTAAAAAATTAGAATATATATATAAAATATCCATTATATTTTTATATCACAAAATTAGGTATTGATTTTATGAAATGCGTTTTTTTTATATTTGTGTTTTAAATTTTATGTGCATACCAGTAATATATAATAAAAAATAAACCATCATAAAATTTTTATCGAGATCATATCTAGGTGTGATCAAAATTTGAAAATGATCAAATTTTCATCTATATATATGTTATTTATGTTAATAATTGGATTATCAAACAATACAATAGATAAAAAGTAATAAATCTTAAAGACTATTTGTTTTGTACATTCGTTCGCAATTTTGTTTCGTATAGTACACTTTATGTACTAATTATTAATGGTCTTTTCTTTTATACAGCTTTCTTTTATGAAGATAAAACTACAAAGCTTGGCAATATTTCAAGTTTGCTTCACATAACTATGTTCGAACAATGTTATGAATATTATATATTACTGATATGCAAAACGGTCGGAATGTGAAAATTTGGAATATTATGACGTCAGAAAGCTCGCCGTATGAGTTCGCGAAATCACCCTGCGGTCAATGTGGTTAAACCCCAAGTCCACTTTATGTATGCGTGTATATTTCAGGACCAGTAGAGAGAGTATGGGAGGGTTAACTTATCTCGAGAATTGTTTTTGGCGGCTATGTACAGCTACATATAAATCTTTCTCCGTAATTAATTCTTATTAAATAAACTGCTTAGAGAAAAAAGACGAGTGAAAAATGTTGTTTTAGATAAAAACAAAATAAAAGGTAAAAGATAAGAAATAAATTTGATTTCAACTTAATTTTGTATCTTTGCAAGAGGAAGTTAAATTGAATCGTTTTTTTTTTTGCAAAAAAACAGGATTATGCATATCTCCTGTTATTAATTTCATTCATAGAACTTTGATTTTTATATACTCTTATTATTATATTTACCCTTTAAAACTCTTGATTAAACATTTTAGAAAAAGTTTTTTATATATACGTATGACATACGCAAAACAGATAAAAACAAATATTATCAATGGTGAAAATGTTGATAATGTAATAAGCCCCTCTCATTTGCTTTTCATCTACTTTATATACTAAATTATTATCCATAGCAAAAGATATATCACAAATTATGTATATTTTACATATGTGTGTAACACATATTCTAGGTTTCCTAAAAAAAAAAAAAAAAAAAAAAAAATCCTCAAAAATAAAAAAAAATAAAAAAACGTACCATTTTTTTCTCTTTTGAAACACGAAACTATACGTGTAATTTTAGCCACTATGTAAATAAATAAAAACAGGTTGACCATATACGAAAACAGAATTAATATAATGGAAAATATCTTGGAATTTGGAAGAGAAATTTTAAACATTTTCCACTCGTCGTTTCAATAAAAAATAAGAACAAACGAGTTATCAACTAACTGCAAAATAGTATTAATCAATTTGTGTGTGAATTTCGTGTATATTTCGCATCAAAATTCAGTTATTTAATTTAAATTATTTGTACATACAATTTTTAATTGCGTAAAATGTTCGCTCGGCAAAATAAAATAATTTTATTATTTTAAATATGCAAATATGTACTTTTAATGTTAAATAGATTGTAAGAAGTATTTTTAATGGTAATAATGAAGTATAATAGCATTCAAACTCTATACAGACATAATTAATCTTTTTCATTCAAGTATCTGTTAAAAATAACATCAATTATTTCTCTTACTCAATATGTATATAATAATGTTTCTGATAATGATAGAATTGTTTTTTATAAAAATAGAATTTCTTATAAATAAAATTTCTTGTTTTTCAAGAAGAATTGTAGCTTAAACTTGACTGCGAAATTATTTTGCCACAATTTCTAATTCATCGCAATTAATTATTAATAAATATAGCTGATTATTGTATCAGGGGAAAAGAACGCTATGAAATAAATATGATACTTCGAAACACATACAGGTTCCCGATTTTCAAAGAGGATTTTGTCCTCAGTTTGATAACGAATGGATTTGTGTCACGCGACCGGGATTTATCGATGTTGAAAATTCACCACCGCAGTAGAACCAATGACAATTATCCGAAAAGTTGCCAACACGACAAAAATGGTCGACACAAGGGATTGTTATCGCGTTGCGTGCTGCGTATTGGATGTTTGATGAACGTTAATCGAAATGACTCGAATATGTACACCCGATCTGAAGTGCACATATACTTATCCAATATGTTTTACAAATAACAATGATTAGCAACAAATTCTACGTAATATATACATATTCTAATATAAGAATAATATAATAGCCAAGAAATATATACCAAAATAATAAATCGAATACAATCGATTAAGAATTTATGACTTTAAAAATAACATGTTATGATAAATTTAATTTTTAATAAATTAAATTCACTTGTTAATATATTTTCTTTTAATTTTTTTTTGCACTTACTAGATGTAAACTAAAGATTTAATTTTAAATTATCAATTTTATGTGAAAAGTATAAGAAAATGAATAAAAAAAGAAAAGAATGAACTTTTAAAAAACTTCTACAACAATCTGCAAACAGAAGGCAGTACAAAGTTTAGATATGCTCAAATATAAATTGAATCTGGCTGCATTTCAAATCGGGAGTGTACTTTCTTTGCTCTAATATGTTTTGTAATGTGATGTCACATATTTATAATTGAGAAAAAGCGTAATCTATTATCACATATACATATATTCATTTTACGAACAATTTAAACAAATTTTTTATTTCAATACTAATAATATATAGAACAGTTTAGAAGAAGATTTTACGATTGATAATTTTATCACAGTTTAGCAGAATATTTAATGAAAAGGCAAAACACAAAAGACTTCTACAAAATTCGCAAAGTCTCGTATATTTGTATAAATAAATACTATATAAGGGGGAAATTGTATGGGCCTGCGTTCTAAGGACGTGTACGCAAGGAAACGCGTGAAAATCGAAACGTTTTAAGGCCTTTGACGTCCCTAAAGCACTCAGACCAAGCCATTCCATCACAGAGGCGAAATAAACGCCCGGTACGAACCGAGTGGGGCCCCCGCCAATTCCGTATAAAACCGTCTTTCTGCTTCCGGTATATTTATTTCGATGAAAGGCCTCGCGGTAACGGCTCGTGCATTACGGAAACGAGTGCGCCTTATGGAAACAAAAAGACGAGAAAGCATCTGAAGGCGTAAAGCGTGTACTCACCCATTCGTCATCATACCGTGGCCAGAAAAAGCGAGACAACCATGTTCAAATTCAACGACAAGCGCTCAAAAGATCATTTTGTAAAAAGTTCTTCATTTATTTATGGTTCGCAAATCGCAAAGCACATATGAAATGAGACACCATACAGTCCTATTATCGCTATAGAAATGTTATAAAATTTCTAACAATTTTTAATAATTTCTCACTCACCGATACGTGGAATGGCGAAGTTGTAGTACAAGTTGTAGCACATTGATCTGAAAACAAAATATACAAATTATGTAGTAGTATACATATGTGTGTGTGTGTGTGTACAGGATGTTTTAAAAATCTGGAAACGATCAAATGTCTCATAAACAATGTTAAAAAAATTATATTTTATTAATTATATTTTGCATACCTCCCAGCTGTCCCGTTGTCACCCGATGCTTCCCCAAGCCACCTCCTCCTCTCTTGGTAGCACTCCCGACACTCGCGAAAATACGAATAATTACGATCGCCCGACACTTTACGGCACTTCCGACGCGACATGTAAATCGCACGCGTATTTCGCGAACATTACACAATGAGAAAAAACGAGCGGAAACTATAATCGCATGAAGTTACGTCCGTTCGGCACTCGAGAATTTCACAATTCGCGCGCAGCTCATTAGCACAATGCTACCTGTAACAAATAAAATATATACATACATATATTAGAGCAATCTTATTATTTCGCACTTTAATATACACGATATAAATACGTAGCTATAGAATTAACGATGCATATATCCATAAATCGCGCCAGATCAGATTAGATTAGGTTATGACTTTGTTATAGATATTGCATCGAATTTCTCGCGACATATGCGTTTCAAACAATTATAACTACTTATGAACGTTGAAATTATAATGCGATTAACAACTTCATTCTAATAGCGCGCACGATACTATACATAATTTTAAAAAAATAATATAATATTATAATATTAAATATTAAATATTAAATTTATTTATTTTTTTATTATATTAAATATTATAATTTATAATATAATATAATATTTATAAATATATCAATATTTATATTTTTAATATTATTAAGTATTAATAA